CAAGCAGCATCCCAGAAAAAGGGAGTTTTTCAGTTTTCCAAGAAAATGATCTGAGGTCACCAGGAACACTTGCAGGCCAAGCATGAACCTTCTCCTTAGCACTATCTAATGCATGTTAGAAAATAATGTGATTTTTATACCCTTTTGAAAACTCACAAAGAGCCAGGTGTGGCTGAGGGGGGGGGGCGTCTTTGCCACTGACTTGCAGGTAGACAAGTGTCTTCTCTGAGGCTCTCTGCAGTCAGGGGTCTTGGCAACTAAGCCATGTTCATTTGAAGCCTCCCCTTAACTTGATTTAAGTCAACGGCAGCAACCGGAGCCCCATCTAAACTCTGCAAGGAAAAATAAGATGCATCACATTCGACAGCCGTTGCAACTCCGTCTCTTTTTCAACGCACCCACAAAGCCCACTCTGGAGAAAGCAAAATATTGTGGTGATAAGAGAGATGAAAGGGATGCAAAAAAAAAAAAAAAACCCTTCCATGCGCCAGTTTGGACAAGTGGTGTCGTAGAACCCGCATTTGTCAGTAACAAGCGGCTGGTTTTATTTAAATATCCCGGGGCAAATTTCTCACTAAAGCAACTTTCCCACGCTGGGACTCTCCTTCGCCTGCACATTTTGGCAAATTTTTTGTTCCCGGAGCTGTCAAGGTGAAATGTGTAAGCAATGCTGGTTTCACTTAGGTTTTTTTTTTTCCAGGCCCCCGGGACACAAAAATAATTTACAGATGTGTGTTACCTGTTTATATTTGCATTAGGTTTTCCTTAGTGTACATAATATTTCTTAGCTTGCAGGAACAAAAAATAGATCCCACGGAGGTTTTTCTTGTCCGTTTTATTTGAACTTGGGGGAAAAAAAACTCTCCCAAACTTCAGACATGTTTAAATCTGTCTGGGCAGAGGAAAAAAAATTTAAAGAACAACGAATCCAATGGAGATTTGCCAAGATTTCCATTAAGTCAGGCTGAACAGTTATTTTTTTTAAAAAAAACACGCCTTCAGTCCTGCTATTTTAACCCAAAGTATCTCCTCAAATTGTTCTTTTTTTTTTTTTTAGGGGCGGTCCAAGGATCCCAAAATCATTTAAGAGGTTTTGTTTTATGCAGACACTTCTCGTTCATCTTTTAAAGCGCTTTTAACGGAAGAAGAAAGACTCTTCTGTGTACAAAAATCCCATGATTTTAAAAATATGCCTTTTGATAAATTAAAAGGATAAATTAGTGGCTTGTTTTTCAAAGAAGGAATTCAGCTGGTTTCTTGATTTTTTTTTTTAAAAAAAACCCACCAAGACATTTTGCATCTCTCTGCAGGGGTCTGGGGTCATGTGACCCCCTTTTGCGACCTGCTGACAAGCAAAGTCAATGGGGAAGACAGATTCACTTAACGACCGGGTTACTTAGCAACAGCAGCGATTCACTTAACAAGTGAGGCAGGAAAGGTTGTAAAAAGGGGGCAAAACTCACTTAACAAACGTCTCACTTAACGACAGAAAAGTTGGGCTCAATTGTGGTCGTAGGTCGAGGACTCCCTTTGCAGACGCTGACCATTTCAGAGCCAGCTTAAGGGAGGGGCAATGCAAGTGTGCAATTGCGGCTTGGAAGCATTTACCGAAAAGTTAGCCTGATGGCTGACATTGCTTATCCCTGCCCTTTCACACAAATCGCACAACCACCACATACAAAAGGGGGTAGCTTCAGTTTTGACTCCTGCCATGGATGCTTCTCTTTGGGGGAGGGGGCATTAGCAGGTTGTCCTCCCACAATCACACACACATATTGGCATTGTGCAAATATCAGACTGTGAGAAGCGGGGATAATTTATTAGGGTCCAGGTGTGATGTTCAGATCACGTTATTCACATCCCAAAGTCAGATTACTTGATTTCGTACATTCCACAAAGCCATGGTTATTTCCTGCTCTCGTTTCCTTATAGTAAACCCCAGTTTGTCTTAGCCAAAGGCTAAGGAGCACACACACACACACACACACACATAACTGCGTTATTAAGCCAGAAACCACAAGAACAGCTTAAGTGCCCAACTCTATGGACCCAGGAAAGGCAGCCAGGATGACGGAGGACAAAGCCAACATCAATTTCCACTCCTCACTCTAACCGTGGATTATTCAACCACAGAATGTTTGCGAAACCACAGCTGGCGGAGTTCGGAGGTCAGAGCAGGCGAAGGTGACAAACTTCCAGCCAAACCATCTTAGAGCACAAGATGGCTTAATGCCCATGTGAACCCCAATGGCCCAAGCGTGAGGAGAAGCCTGAGCATTATGCATTTATTTCATTTATTAGATTTTTATCTAGCCTTCATTGCTCTATAACAGTGGTTCTCAACCTGTGGGTCGGGACCCCATTTGGGGACCATTTCACGGGGGTCGCCAAACAACGCAGTCCGCCATTTTTTCCCCCTTTTCCTTAGCTGTGCTACTCCCTCTTATTCTATTGGCTTTTGAAAGCCAATAGAATAGACTCTCTTTGAGCCCGCCAAAAGTCCCGTTCTGCAAACGGTGCTGCACCAGTTGAGTAGTCCTTGACCTACGACCGGTTGAGTAGTCCTCGACTTACGACCGGTTGGGGGTCGCGGCATTAAAAAGGTTGAGAACCACTGCTCTATAATAACTCCAGATGGGAAAATATACATAATACTCCTTCTTCCTGCTATTTCCCTGTAAAGTGGGTTAGGCTGAGAATAAATAGTTGCCCCAGAGTCACCTGGGCATTACATGCCTACAGTCTCCTGGTGATTGGCCCAAAGTCACCACCTGGCTTTAATGCCTAAGGCAGGACTAGAACTCAGAGTCTCCTGGTTTCTAGGCCTGCAACTTCATGGGTACAGTACACCACTCTGGCTTATTGTCAGAATGAGATCCTTTCAGGAGCCAGATGATGGACAGAACCTGGCTTAACAAAATATGATCTTTATGTTGACACAGAAATGTTGTCACGGAACTGGCCAAAAGCGACACATACGCAGCAGCATTCAACTAAAAGGCTACTCTGGTTAGCAAGTGCATTATGAGATAAATGAGCTTGCTTCCTGCCAACCGGTTCACCTAATTAAGGGGCATGTGTGACTGCAGGCCCCGTGCAGCCCCCCCTCTCTTCCCTCCCATGTAGGTGTTGAGACTTTGGGAAAAGTTCAGAGAAGAGCAACTAAGACGATCCAAGGCCTGGAGACTAAAACATATGAAGAACGGTTGTAGGAATTGGATATGTCTAGCTTAGTGAAAAGAAGGACCAAGGGTGACATGATAGCAATCTTCCAATATCTAAGGAGCTGCCCCAAAGAAGAGGGAGTCAAGCTATTCTCCAAAGCACCTGAGGGCAGGACAAGAAACAACGGATGGAAACTAATTAAAGAGAGAAGCAACCTGGAATTAAGGAGAAACTTCCTAACAGTGAGGACAATCAACCAGTGGAACAGAAGTTGGCTTCAGAAGTTGTGGGTGCTCCATCACTGGAAGTTTTTAAAAAGAGACTGGACAGCTACTTGTCTGAAATGATATAGGGTCTCCTGCTTGAGCAGGGGGCTGGACTAGAAGACCTCCAAGGTCCCTCTCAACTCTGATAATGATGATGTAGGCCAGTGGTTCTTAATCGTTTTGAATGAATCCCCCCCCCAGCCAATGAGGAAGTTGTCATCGCCCCCCCTCCCCCAACATCACCTCTCAATCACAACATAGGAAATAATTCTTCAATTTATGCAAACACTTTTTCTGTTTTCTTAAAAATTGTCATCAGGACACATCGATGCAAATCATTTATTTCCAGTCTTTTCCCCATTATCTCCCATATTCTGGCCAATGGCGCAACACTGTACGGGTAGAGGCCGCTGCACAACACGCATGAAGATAAGGGATGCGTGTTCACATATGTATGGCGTTCTGTACTGAAGCTAGCAGGAGGAACATTTGAAAACACAATTCAATCCACTAACAGCGAGCGATGGGATGTTTTTGTACCACAGATGTACAGCGATTCACTGCAGGGAAAAGTCTCAAAAGTGTCCCCAAAACTTCTCGCTCCATTGCCCCCATATCGCCCTCTTTTCTTCCCTTCGCCCCCCTGGAAAACGAAATCACCCCCTTGGGGGCGATATAGCCCAGGTTTAGAAGGCAACGTATGGCTGTGAAAGTTGGACCATAAGAAAGGCTGAGCGCCAAAGAATGGAGGCCTTTGAACTCTGGTGCTGGAGAAGACTCCTGCGAGTCCCCTGGACTGCAAGGCGATCCAACCGGTCAGTCCTAAAGGAGATCAACCCCGACTGCTCTTTAGAAGGCCAGATCCTGAAGTTCAAACTCAAATACTTTGGCCACCTAATGAGAAGGAAGGACTCACTGGAGAAGACTCCTGCAAGTCCCCTGGACTGCAAGGCGATCCAACCGGTCAGTCCTAGAGGAGATCAACCCGACTGCTCTTTAGAAGGCCAGATCCTGAAGTTCAAACTCAAATACTTTGGCCACCTAATGAGAAGGAAGGACTCACTGGAGAAGAGCCTGATGCTGAGAAAGATTGAGGGCAATAGAAGAAGGGGACGACAGAGAATGAGGTGGCTGGATGGAGTCCCTGAAGCAGGAGGCGTGAGCTTCAATGGACTCCAGAAGATGGCAGAGGACAGGAAGACCTGGAGGAATGTTGTCCATGGGGTCGTGATGGGTCGGACACAACTTCGCAATTAACAACAACAACAACAACAAAAGAAGGCGACCCTGGAAGGCTGCACCTGTTTGGGAGGACCCACAGAGACGGAACCGCCCGCCGACTATCGGGGCAGCGCTGGGGAACTCGCAAAAGTCATAAAAAAAGCTCCGAGTTTGCAAGACCCTCCAGTGGCGGGTCGTTCCAGCGGACGGAGCGGCCGAGGGCGCGCGGGCGGGGCGGGGTGGGGGGCGTCTCCGCTGCTCTCGCGCCCCGCCTGCCTCGTCCGGGGAGGAGGCGGCGCCTGGCGCGGTGGGGCCGCCCCCACATTGCGATGCAAAAAACCCGCCCCGGCGGCCCGGCCCGCCCCGGCAGCCAGCCTCGCTCGCGCCCGCGCCCGCGCCCTTTGCAAACTTCCCGGCCCGCGGAGAAGTTCCTCTTTCCGCAGCGCCGACCGGGAGGAGCCGTGCGAGCCCTCCGCCCCGACAGCCGCCGCCAGGAGGACCCGTCCCGTCTCAGCCCGTCCCGTCCGGAGCCAGCGCCGGGAGCCCCTCGGCCGGGGCGCCGCGAGGATCACGCGGCGGGGATGCAGCCCCTCCGGGGAGGGAGCCGACGCCGACGCCGACGCCTCCCGGGGCTGCTGTTGCTGCTGGCCGTGCTGCCCGCCTTCGCTGCAGGTACGCCGGGCGGGCGGGCGCCTTCTCGGCGGGGAAGGCGAGGTGCGCGGCCGCGATGCCGGCGCCGGCGGCGGAGCTTCCCTGGACGGGCGCAGTCTACCTTGGCGCGGATCCGCGGGGCGCTCAGCCCCCCTCGGCCGGCCTTCTGGCGGGGTGGGCGGGGGGGGGGAAGGCGACGGATCGGTCCGGACCTGTTTCTTCCCCCCCCCTCCCATGGCTGTGGATGATGGGAAGGGGAGTCGCGCCTTGCAACGGGGCGGAAGAGCCGGGCCGGGGCCGCCGCTGACCCGCCGCTCACCCCGCCGGAGGAAGCGGCGCTCGGGCGGGCGCCGCTTCTCCCTTTCCTCCCCTCGGAGCGACTCCGCTTCTCCGAAGGAAAGCCACCCCAGCGGCGGCTTCTGTAGGCTGAGCTCGCCTTGGGAAGGGGGGGGTGGGGGGGGAAAGCTGCCCCCGGCCCCCCCTCCTCCGGCCGGGGACCATGGGAGCGGGAGTCCCTGCAGACCCGCCTTGGCCAGGCCGCCCGGGGCTTTTGCAGAGCTCCGTCCGAAGTGCGCGCCGTCGTGAAGGGCTCCGGGCGGGCGCGGCCAGTGGGCAACCTTGGCAGAGCGGGAGGGGGGGGGTCTGCCGGGGGCGCCCCCAGAAGCCGGACCGGGGGCCGCGGGAGTTGCTTCTGGCCGCCTGAAGCCTTCTGGGGGGTGGGGTGGGGGGAGAAGGCAGCTTTTGCCGGTGCGCCGGCTGGAAAGGCTGAAACAGAAGTGCAAGCCAGCCCGTTTTGCCTTTTGGCCACATTGTGCGTTCCTCTGTGTGTGTGTGTGTGTTTTGCTCAATCCTTTTGTGAATGTGCGTCAGATTTCCTGTCCTCCCTTGTAGCCTCTCTGCAGCCCCCCCCCTCCCTCCCCGCCCTCTCTTCCTTTTTCTGGTTTTTTTAACTGATGACTTGCAGGGCCGGGTGGGCTGTTAAAAAAAAAAAAAAGTGTGATTTTGGGGAAAAGCAGCGGAGGGAAAGAAAGAGAAAGAGAAAGAAAGAAAAAGAAAGAAAAAGAAGAAAGAAAGAGAGAGAGGGAGAGAGAGAAGAAAGAAAGAAAGAAAGAAAGAAAGAAAAAGAAAGAGAGAAAGAAAGAAAGAAAAAGAAAGAAAAAGAAAGAAAGAAAGAAAAAGAAAGAGAGGGAGAGAGAAAGAAAGAGAAAAAGAAAGAAAGAGAGAGAAGAAAGAAAGAAAGAAAGAAAGAAAGAAAGAAAGAAAGAAAGAAAGAGAAAGACCTGTGGGTTTTGAAAAGCCAACGACTGGGGGGGCAGCGGGAGAAAAGGGCTTGGGGGGGGGAAGCCAGTGCTGCACACACCTGCAGCCCCTCTCCTCCCCCCCCCCCGCCCAGGCTTGGTCTTCTGCTGAACTTGGAGGGGGCAGCTGCTGTGAGTCACGGGACCCTCTGAAGAAAGAGTTTCAAGTGAAATCAAGAGTTGTTGGGGAGCCACGTGGTGCTCCCCTTAACCAGGGACACCAGACACGGTTGTGTGTGGTATGTACACACACAGGTGAGGCACAGGAGCCCCTGCGCTTCTGGGGGGATTGGGGGTTTATGAGTCAGTTGGTTCAGCCCAAACAATCCAGGCACCACCACCCCCATTGTTGTTGTTAATTGCGAAGTCGTGTCTGACCCATCGCGACCCCATGGACAACGTTCCTCCAGGTCTTCCTGTCCTCTTCCATCTTCTGGAGTCTATTCAAGCTCACGCCTCCTGCTTCAGTGACTCCATCCAGCCACCTCCTTCTCTGTCGTCCCCTTCTTCTCTTGCCCTCCATCTTTCCCAGCATTGGGCTCTTCTCCAGTGAGTCCTTCCTTCTCATTAGGTGGCCAAAATATTTGAGTTTCAAACACCCCCCCCCCATACTCCCCCCTAAGCCTTCCGTAGTTGCCATCCTCCTGCCTTGGTATGATGGGGATTGTAGTCCAGCATGCTCAGGAAGGCTGCCTTGGATCCTTGCCGAGCCTTTGAAGGAAACCAGCCAGAGACAGAAATCGCCTCCGGGTAGCTATTTGGAGCCCCAGAGGGGGGAGACCCGGGTTCAGATCCTGCAGAGGGTCACCTGAGGGTTTCACGGCCATCTGGTGGGGTCCAGGCCTTCAGAGTCAGAACAGAGCTGGAAGGGACCTTGGAGGTCTTCTAGTCCAGCCCCCTACTCAAGCAGGAGACCCTAGACCAGGGGTGGGGGACCTCAGCTCTTTTACGACTTGTGGACTTCCAATTCCCACAATTCTGGCTCAGGAATTCTGGGAGTTGAAGTCCACAAGGCATAAAAGAGCCACGGTTCCCTCCCCCTGCCCTAGACCCCTCCAGACAAGTGGCTGTCCAGTCTCTTCTTAAAACCCCCCCAGTGGTGAAGCACCCACAACGTCTGAAGGCCAGCGGTGGTGACTTATGAAGGTCCTCCATCGTCCTGGCCCTTCTCTCTCTGGAGAGGTCTCCCCAAGAGACGCCTGGAGGTGGCTGAACTTCAGTCTTTGGCGAAAGCGCTGGTCTTTGGGCTGCCGTCCCCTCTCCAGCCAGAAAGCAGGCTGGGCTGGGCTGGGTCTGCCCCAGAGAGCCCCCTTGGTCTCTTTGGAAGAAGAAGGGGGAGCAAACACCCCTCCCCTCTTTTTTTTTTTTGAAGTCTGTTTTGGGGGCAGAGGGGGGGCATCTTCCTAGACCTGCCCCCCCAGACATTGGAAGGGAAGCTCAGAACCAGAAGTGGGGAATGGACACCAGAGCTTTCTTAAGGAAGGAGGCGTCTTCTGCCCTGGGGGGGGGGGCTGTTCTCGGGCAACCCCAAATGCGGGTGGGGTGCCCCCCCTCTCCTTCCGCCTCTGCCTTTCGGGAAGTGAAGAGGAAGTCGCTTCGGGCTTCCTGGGGCAGCGTCTGGTTTCGCTTTGGCTGGGTTTTGGGGGTTTTTGTTTTTTTCCCCCCCTTTGCAAAGGGCAATTCCAACTTTTGCACCGTACAGGTGGTCCTCGACGTGACGACCACGACTGAGCCCCAAGCCTCTGCGGTTAACCGAGAGACTTGGGTTAAGCAAGTTTTCCCCTATTTCGACGAGCTTTCCTGCCCCAGTTGTTAAGTGAATCGCTGCAATGCATAAGTTAGTCAGCCGGTGGTTAAGTGAATCGGGCTCCCCCAGATTGGCTTTGCTGGTCAGAAGGTTGCAAAAAGGGGACCTTGGGACACGGCAGCCGTCATAAGTATTTACTGTGTGTGTGTGTGTGTGTGTGTGTGTGTGTGTGTCTGTCATGTGGAGGTAGCCTCGCTTGTGCTTCTTCCTGGGTGCCTGCTTGGTCCACTCCAGCCGGCCGGAGCAGGCAGCTCCCCAGGGACAGGGGGGGGGGCTCCTATCCCCCCTTTGTCTGGGCAGGCACTGCCCAGCAGCCCAGCTGTTGCTTTTTCCCACGCACCGAAGGGGGGGGCGTTGCTCCAGGAGGGTGGTACACGTGTCTCCCCCCCCCTTGGAAAGAAAGAAAAGGGGGCATTTGCACAGCCCCAAAGCCCTATCTGGGAGCATCTTAACAGAGCCTCAGGTGTGCTTGTAACCTTTGCCAATGTTGTTCTCCTTTGGGGGGGGGGTCAGGGCTGCTCAGATTTTAGGAGCCCATGAGTTTTCTCCCTTTCTGATGGAAGCAGAGACCACCCTTGATAATTAGGCCCTCTTCTCCCACAGTACAAAGGGATGAAAAGTCACACACACACACACACACACACACACACACACCCATGACCTACTTGTGCATGCTAAAAAAAAAAAGGCTGGGCCTTTGATTGCATGGCGTGATATTTTTGATCCCCCTTCCCTGAAGACCCCTCCCCCCAAGTGGGTCTTCAGAGGGTCATCCTGGGCTGAACCATCATGGATTGGAGGGTTTGATGTGGTGAGTTACATGAGCCAGCCATGATGGCTTCTTTAGCAAGTTATGGCTTAGCTTAATGTAGGAATTCTCTTAGAGGCTTAGCATTGCTCCACCTTTTTTTTTTTTCCTGCAGTGATGGTCATTCCATATTCTTTTAAGCTGATTGGTCTATGACAGTATTGTTTTAGTAGACTAAAAGAATGCTTTTAAGTTTGGGCAAGCATAATTTGACTCCAAGTTGATTTGTTTTCCTTTGTAACACCTTTGGGGTACTTTTGAAAGACTGTTGAGACTCTGGAAAGAGTGCAGAGAAGAGCAACAAAGATGATTAGGGGACTGGAGGCTAAAACATGAAGAACAGTTGCAGGAATTGGGTATGTCTAGTAGTCTAATGAAAAGAAAGACTTGGGCCATCATGATAGCAGTCTTCCAATGTTTGTGGGGCTGCCTCCAAAGCACCTGAAGGCAGGACAAGAAACAGTGGATGGAAACTAATCAAGGAGAGAAGCAACCTGGAATTAAGGAGAAACTTCCTAACAGTGAGGACAATTAGCCAGCTGGCCTTCAGAAGTTGTGGTGCTCCATCACTGCAGCCTTTTAAAAAAGAGACTGGACAGACACTTGTCTGGAATGGTATATAGCAGTGGTTCTCAACCTGTGGGTTGGGACCCCATTTGGGGTCGAACGACCATTTCACGGAGGTCGCCAAACAACGCAGTCCGCCATTTTTTCCCCTTTTCCTTAGCTGTGCGACTCCCTTTTATTCTATTGGCTTTTGAAAGCCAATAGAAGAGATTCTCTTGAATAGAGTCTAATTCTATTGGCTTTCCAAAGCCAATAGGAATTGTCCAGGCTGTCTCTGCCCTGCTGAGCCCGCCAAAAGTCCCATTCTGCAAACAGTGCTACACCAGTTGAATAGTCCTCGACTTACGACCGGTTGAGTAGTCCTCGACTTATGACCGGTTGGGGGTCGCAGCATTAAAAAGGTTGAGAACCACTGGTAAATAGGGTTTTTCAGCAAAGGGTTGGACTAGAAGACCTCCAAGGTCCCTTCCAACTCTTATTCTATTACTTACCAGGCAGAAGAAAATTGCTCAGTCTGCATTTGGTGGTTCACCAAAGTGGGATGATAAATCAACTTGTGAAGATGCTCTGAGACAAAAAAAAACCAAAACTCTTTCTTATTTCTTTAGAGGATTTGAAAGTAATCAGGTCATTTTCTTCCGGTTCACAAAGGCTTCCATATCAAGTCACCTAGGAACAATTCTTCCTCATTGCAGGCAATTAAGCAAATGTGCATTTAATGCCTAACCCAAACAGAGAGGCCTCTGCTTTAGCAGTTTATGGTTTTTTTGCAACACACTGGTTTCCTTTATTGCACTTTTACAAATAATAAATCATTGGACGACTTGGAAGGCTAGCAATTCTTCCTGTACTTACATGCAGCTTGATTGTGGCTTAGCATAATGTGCAAAGCTGCTATAGTTGGTAAACCTGTTAATATGTGCCAAACCGATTAACTATGTGAACCACGGATCTCTAAACTGTGGCTTAATATGCTGTGCAGACCAGGTCAAATGGTCCTATTTAGAAGCCCAATCTGTGATTGGCATCCTTCTTGATGTTTTATAAAAATTTCCATTTTTAAAAAATATGACCTTTACTATAATCTGTCAAAAAAGTCAACTGCTCTTCCTGCCAGTGGCTGTTCAGAAAAAAAAAATGTTCCTGAAACTTCTCACAGCCAAACCAATTTTGAGTTGATTCAGGCAGCCTGACAGAACTATTTTCGGGGTTAACAAAATACATTTATCCTGTTGACAGAACATACAGTGCCCAAACCAACGAGGGAAAACCAAATCTAGCCTGTTAGTTTGCTCCATGAATGTCAGTCCCCACAATTGATTGAATCCTAGTTTTACCCTTAGGTGGGGATGTTTGGTGAAGTTTGCCCATGTGCAATCCTCATAATTTATGATTTTCAACCTTGGCCTCTTTAAGATGTGTGGGCTTCAGCCCCCAGAATTCCCCAGACAGGATGCTGAATTATGCTTAGTTATTCTTGTAGAAACAAAAAGTCTTCTTTGAGTTAAACTGACTTCACAGACAGGTCCATAGAGCAGCGCTGTTCAAGCTTGACTGCATTAAGATGTTTGGACTTCAACTCCCAGAATTCCCCAGCCAGTATGGCTGGCTGGGGAATTCTGGGAATTGAAGTCCACACATCTTGAAACAGCCAAGCTTGAAAAACACTTGTGTCAGAGATGCTGTGGCTAAGTTGAAACACGGTTTCCCAGAATGGAGGAAGGAGCGTGGAACTTGGCATCCGTTTAATTTGGCTCAGATTGTCATCTTCCGAGATTGAAGGCACCAACCGTGGTCCTTGCAGGTATTAGATGACATGTGGCCCAGAGATTCTGGAATTATAGCGAGCGTTGGCTCCCCCCCCAGTCTTGCCTGATGAACTCCCAGTTGCCATCCCATAATGCCAGTCCATCCCGTGAAGCAGCTTTTCCTTTTTATCTGCTTTGTGCAGAGAGAAATCTCCAGAAGAGATACCATTTTTTTTAATGAGAACTGCTAAGCTGGAATTTCCTGGGTGGGTTTCATTAGGATCCTCCCTCCCCCCCCCAAACCAATTTGGTTGATCCCGGAATAGCTAAGCAGGGGTAGAGCCAAGACCACTTAGCACTAGGAGTGGGGGGATCCCATGCTGGGAAGGGCAAGTGGCACGCCACAGATAGTCAATTTACACAATCATTTACGAATCTGAGGAAACGCAAACTTTTCTCCTTGGTGTGTAGCAAGCCATTCTTTTAGGATAAAGAACCAGTTTGATCTAGTGGTTTAAGGCACAGGCTAGAACAGGGGTCTTCAAACTTGGCCCTTTTATGACTTGTGGACTTCAGCTCCCAGAATTCCTCAGCCTGGCTGGAAGTCCACAAGTCATCAAAGGGCCAAGTTTGAAGACCCCTGTCTTAAATCTAACCAAGTTTGAAGACCCCTGTCTTAAATCTAACAAACAAAATGGAGGCTGGCTGAGGAATTCTGGGAGCTGAAGTCCACCAGTCATCAAAGGGCCAAGTTTGAAGACCCCTGTCTTAAATCTAACAAACAAAATGGAGGCTGGCTGAGGAATTCTGGGAGCTGAAGTCCACAAGTCATCAAAGGGCCAAGTTTGAAGACCCCTGTCTTAAATCTAACAAACAAAATGGAGGCTGGCTGAGGAAGTCTGGGAGCTGAAGTCCACAAGTCATCAAAGGGCCAAGTTTGAAGACCCCTGTCTTAAATCTAACAAACAAAATGGAGGCTGGCTGAGGAATTGGGAGCTGAAGTCCACAAGTCATAAAAGGGCCAAGTTTGAAGACCCCTGTCTTAAATCTTGGAGGCTGGCTGAGGAATTCTGGGAGTTGAAGTCCACAAGTCATCAAAGGGCCAACTTTGAAGACCCCTGTCTTAAATCTAACGAACAAAATGGAGGCTGGCTGAGGAATTCTGGGAGTTGAAGTCCACCAGTCATCAAAGGGCCAAGTTTGAAGACCCCTGTCTTAAATCTAACAAACAAAATGGAGGCTGGCTGAGGAAGTCTGGGAGCTGAAGTCCACCAGTCATCAAAGGGCCAAGTTTGAAGACCCCTGTCTTAAATCTAACAAACAAAATGGAGGCTGGCTGAGGAAGTCTGGGAGTTGAAGTCCACCAGTCATCAAAGGGCCAAGTTTGAAGACCCCTGTCTTAAATCTAACAAACAAAATGGAGGCTGGCTGAGGAATTCTGGGAGCTGAAGTCCACAAGTCATAAAAGGGCCAAGTTTGAAGACCCCTGGGCTAGAAGCTGAGAGAATGGGAGTTCTAGTCCTGCCTTAAGCGTAAAAGCCACCTGGGTGTCTTTGGGCCCAATCACCAGGAGATGGTGAATTCTAGTCCTGCCTTAAGCGTAAAAGCCACCTGGGTGACTTTGGGCCAGTCCCTATCTCTCAGCCCAACCCACCTCACAGGGTGGTTGTGGAGAAAATCGGAGGAGGAAGGTGTGTTGGATATATTCACTGACTTCTTTGTAAAAATAATAAAGGTGGGATACAAACAAATAAAATAACAGATCTGGTGACCTTATAAACCGCTAAAGCAAGATTCTGGTTCCAATTATGACTCTTCATTATTTGGAAATCAGCTGAAAAGAACATATTTAAGAAGGTAAATTATGATTCACGTCCTGGAAACTTAACCTGATGTACCTTTTGAGTTCCTGCCTGTAAAATGGGAGTAGGTGGCTAATCAGTTGGTGGGGGGGAGAGAAGAAATACTGCATTTTTGAGGCCACTTGAATATGTACAATAAATCTTCTACGATTTTGGTGGAGGGATGCCTGCTAAACTTCAATGTTCATTGACTTCACATTCAGGTTATTTGCATCGATGGCCATGTGAATGGCTTGCATGGCTTTGCATATAATGGGCCGTGTTGCTTGAAAGGAATTCGGGTCCCTGAAATCCAAAGTTTGGTACAAAAGCACTGAAATGCTGCATCTGTAAAGATGACTTAACACCCTAACTCTGTCGTTTAACTTTAACTTTTCCCAACCGGATGTGTGTTCCCAGAGCATCAGCCATTAACCCCATGCTAGCTTAGCTCAGTGTTTGGGGAGGGGAAGCCCGGCACCTCGGAGCCCATGAAGTGGGGCAAGGCCGCAGTGGTTCCTACATGGACTGTGTGCCTCTCTTGACATCTTCCCTTCCTGCAGATGAGCGTCACCAGGGCCATCAAATCACCCGTGTTCTCTTCTTGCAGGTTTGCGATGTACCCAGCCTTCCGAATCCTGCTTGAACGGAGGGAAGTGTGAGACCTATCAAAATGGAACAGGAGCGTGTCTGTGAGTACCAGCTTGTTGTTGCTGTTTTTTTTTATGAGCACGGGGAGTGAAAGCGTGCAAAAGATTTCAACCCTGAGATGTTTTTGTTTGTTTGTTTGTTTGTAGTGTTCCAAGCTTGGGACACAAGAAAGTTTTTCTTTTTTTTTTTTTTTCCAAAGAAAAGAACACAGGCCTTTTGAATTTTGTCTCAACCGAAGGAGGATATTCCTATTTGGCATGGATCTGCTTTGTTTTGGGCCTGAAAACACACTGCAGGGTTTTGTTTATGCCAATCCCTAACGAGAACAAACATACACCAGGTAGTTGTAGGAATAGAAGGAAGCCCACTTTATGGCTCAGAGTAAAAAGCTGGGCCGTTCTTCAAGGAGTTGACAAACGTTTTGGTATCTTTCCCTCTTCTGTACTAGATGGTTGAAGATAGGTTTAGAGACTCTGGAAAGAGTGCAGAAAAGAGCAAGAAAGATGATTAGGTTGAAGATAGGTTTAGAGACTCTGGAAAGAGTGCAGAAAAGAGCAAGAAAGGTTTAGGGGACTGGAGGCTAAAGCATATAAGGAACGCTTGCTGGAATTGGGCATGTCTAGTTTAATGAAGAGAAGGACGAGGGGGGACATGATAGCAGTCTTCCAATATCTCAGGGGCTGCTCCAAAGAAGAGGCAGTCAAGCTATTCTCCAAAGCCCGTGAAGGCAGGACAAGAAGCAACGGGTGGAAACTAATCAAGGAGAGAAGCAACCTAGAAACTAAGGAGAAATTTCCTGACAGTGAGAACAATTCACCAGTGGAACTGCCTGTCTCCAGGAGTTGGAGGCTTTTAAGAAAAGAATGGGCAGCCACCTGTCTGAAATGGTAAAGGGTCTCCTGCTTGAGGAAGGGGCTTGACTAGAAGACCTCCAAGGTCCCTTCCGTTATTCTGTTAGATTGGCCTTGAGATAGAAGTGACCCAGACCCCCCTTTTCCCTTTGTGGGGAGACTGAAGAAGGCTAGGTTTGGAAGCTGAAGGTGGATGAAAGAGGCTATTTGAAAGAACACGGAGACAGTTTTATAGAGTTTTGGTGCCCAGGGCCTGGGGATTTTCCTCCATTTTATGAGGGAGATACAGATACAGCGACTGAGAGCTTGCTTATATCCATGCGCCTGGACAAAGTCTCTTGGGCTCCTTCTAGCAAATGCTGCTTTACCAAAAGAGGACATGGACGTATATGCGGTTCCGCTGTTGATTAGATCACTTGTTGAGGAATCAACTGGAACATTATCCGCGTGAACCAGAATGCCGTCTGTAATCTGGTGGCTCCAGAATTGGTTCCTTCCAGACACCACAGGGTTGCATCTCCTCAGGTTAACAAACCTGGGTGCTCGCACCACAGCTGGAGAGCACCAGGTTGGGGAAGGCTGTTCCAATCCAATCCTATCTACAAATTGTGATGCCTTAAGGCAGTGTTTCCCAAACTTGACAATTTTAAGGCATGTGGACTTCAACTCCCTGAATTCCACAGCCAGCGTTGCTGGCTGTGGAATTCTGGGAGTTGAAGTCCTCATGCCTTAAAATTGTCAAGTTTGGGAAACACTGCATTAAGGCAGTGGTTCTCAACCTGTGGGTCAGGACCCCATTTGGGGTCGAATGACCATTAACGCAGTCCGCCATTTTTTTCCCCTTTTCCTTAGCTGTGCTACTCCCTTTTATTCTATTGGCTTTTGAAAACCAATAGAATAGACTCTCTTGAATAGAGTCTAATTCTATTGGCTTTCAAAAGCCAGTAGGAATTGTCCAGGCTGTCTCTGCCCTGCTGAGCCCGCCCAAAGCCCCATTCTGCAAACGGTGCTGCACCAGTTGAGTAGTCCTTGACTTACGACCGGTTGAGTAGTCCTCGACTTATGACCGGTTGGGGGTCGCGGCATTAAAAAGGTTGAGAACCACTGCATTAAGGGAATATCGTAGAGCAGGATGTAGAAGCCAGACATTTCATAATTTGGTGCCCTCGGGGGATTTTGCAAGCTTTTGCTTTCTTAGCTGACTCTATAACGGGTATCGGCTGCCTTTGGGTCAAAAACCAACGCTATCCCAAGTGGATGGATGAAAAATTCAGCTCGCTCTGGTCTCTTTGACTTTTCGGTTGAAGAAATATGAACGTTGCCTGCCCAGTTCCAATCTAGACAAGTTCAGTACAAGTTAACTAAATTGGAATTAAATGGAACCAAATCAAGAATCAAGTGGGCATTATGGCTGGGGAGAACTACAACCAGGGTAAGCCTGCCTTGAGGCTGTTGTCAATCATGGGAAACCATTGTGTGACTTAGCTACCCATCCCACAGGGTGGTTGTTACAGGGGGAAAAATGGAAGGGGGAGCACCGTTTGTAGCATGTTGTGCCGGAAGGCGACAACTCACTGCAGGCAACTCGCCGCGGGACAGTTTAACAATTCGGTTTAATTATTTAAAATAAATAAAAAAATATTTTATTTTTTTTATTGAAAAGTTTTATACAAATTTTTAATACGATACAATATGCCCCCCCTCCCCCCCACCCTAACCCTCCCTCCCCCCCACCCTAACCCTCCCTCCCCTTACTTCCCAGAGGCTGATTACAGGGTTAAAAAAAAAATAAACAAACAAATTCTAACTAAGCTTATCCAACTATACAAATAGTAAAATCCCTAAAATACTTTAACTCAAATACGCACACAAAAAAATTTCAAACAAAAACATAAATAACAATATAAATAATTCCCACTTTAAACTTTAAGTTATTCAAAAGCTAAATAATACTTTCTACTCCCATATTTATTCTGTACAAAATTTATCCATCCTCTCCACACCGCGATAAAAAAATATTTTAATTTTTGTCGTTCACGTTTCATTCTGTCCCTCCCTCCTTTTGCATTTTTTTCTTTAATAATTCTATTCCACCGTTTCTTTGACAGTAGTGTAACTCTTGTCCCACAGCAAAATGTCCCGGGGTGAGTTGCCAAACTGAGCTGTTCTGTCGCAAGTTGGCTGCCGCAGCGACTTATCATAGACCAGTGGTGGCGAACCTGTGGCGCGCGTGCCAGAGGCGGCACTTGGAGCGCTCTCTGGGCACGTGCACCGTTGCCCCAGCCCTGCCTTCTCCCACGACACCCTCCTCACTAGCAGCCCCCCCCGGAGGAGAGTCACCCCCGGGCGCGGCCCACACGAAGCAGCGCAGCCAAGGACATGGTAGCCGGGCAGCGGGAACAAGACTCCGCCCTTGCGCCCCATCGCGCACAGATGATGCTGCGGGGCACGGGCGGAGGGCATGGCCGCCATGGCGCTGCTGGGCTGCCTGGGTGATCTGTGGCGGGCCGTGGAGGTGGTGGGTGACCCAGCGGGCGGGATGGGGCGGGGGGCAGTCTCTAAAAGGTTCACCGTCACTGTCATAGACCCTGTTGTGTTCCCGAAGAAAAGGTGGGGTAGAAATCAGTCAGAGAAATAAGTCCTTGGCGCATTGAGGTTTGCCCACGAGAAAGCTGGCCTGTGGTGATGCTGTGGCGCTTCTGATCCCAATGGTGTGTGGGGAAGAGGTGAAGGGGGGAGTCAGCCCCCCGTTCTTTGATTTTTCTCCTTTTCGACGCTTTGCATTCCCTTAGGAGAACCCTCCAGCAAATTAATCAGCTTGGGAGCCATTTAACAGACAAAGGCGAGATGCTGATGAATGCATGCCACTACATACATCCGTAGGTACACACATGCACGCAGGCACCGTGCACGCCTATAAAAATGTGTGTCTGGATTTTTGCCCCTCGAAGCCAATCTACCCTGGGCTCTCTCAATCTTGTTTTCTTTCATTCCAAGAGTGACAGCTGGGATTCGGTCAAAATTCAGCGGCTATTGTTAAGACGGGCAGATGAATGCTTTGTGACTAATCTCGGGAGCGTTCCCAGAATGCCTGATTCGGTCTTACCCCAGACCCCATTTATTTATTCTCCCCCCCCCCATTTTCTGGTCATTCTTCTCTTGCCTCAAAGACTCGTTTGTCTTCCCCAATTTACATGGGGTGGACAGATGGAATTGAATGGGGAGCCGGACAGATGTGGGTGTTCTCTGCCAAGGGAAGGGGGGGCTGCTGCTGCTGCTGCAACTGCCACTGATCCCCCCCCCCCAAGAGCCAGTCAGAAGGGGGGGAACTTTCTCGCATAAACCAAGTTTTGTTCGTCGACTTGCCAGTGCCGTTGGCATCAGCCGTCTCTACTGCCGCCTTCCACGTGTGCTGGGTAAGGGTGAGTTATAGTTTTTGTGGCGGGCTCCTCTTGTGCTGCAAGCTTGAGCAACAAAGGTTGATAGTCACATGTAAAGCTTGTAAATCTGGCCCAGAGGAAATCAGATGGAGCACAATGAGAGAGGGAGAGGGAAAAAGAGAGAGGGACCGTCTGGGGTTGGGATGAAAAGTTGGATTAAAGTGCCGAGAAAGGGATTCAACTTTACAGGGAGTCTCTTTTTTTCCCCAGAAAATTTGAGTTTGTTCGAAGAAGATTCAAATACAAAACACTAAAATATTTTTTAAAAAATAAAACCAAAAAAAAAACACAACAAAAAAGACATTAACAACAATGTCTTTAAAAAAGCCTAACACATATACTACACCTAGTATATGATGCTGATTAGTATAATTCAGAAAGGTTGAATGCTGATTAATATAATACAGAAATGTTGGTTTACACCCCCCCCCCCTTGCGAAACAGGCCAAAAGAATTTCAAATTGTTAAACTACTAAATCTACTTACAAATTATCAGCCGGTCAGGAACAAAATGGTTAAGGGTGAAAACAAAAATAGTGAACATGTTCTGTAAAAGCATAATAAAAACCATAAACAGGAATAAGAGAAAAACCAATTCCAAAACTCTCTATAAACAAACTGCTATTGTAATCAACTCATAGAAAATTTACCACCGCTTCAATCCCCCAATCATTCCAAATATTAACCCTAACTGATCCCAGATCAAATATCCACGTTTGCTTCTCCAGCTTACAGTTGGGACCAGAATTT